CTTTTTAGTTCCAGTATTACTGTATCAAAGCAAAGCCCTCCAATATTTCCTTCGGTTTCATATTCTTTAAGGAGATTTATTATGCCTTTATACTGATCATCCCCTGAGGAAGAAGATAGAGAAGGTACTCCGAGAAGATAAACCTCTCCATCAATGTTTAAAAGAACGGCTAAACTGTCATTTTTGAATCGCTTGCCTTTTTTTAACTCAAATAAGGTTTTACCATCAAAATGAATGGTAGGCGGATATTTGGAGGCTTGTAAAGCAACTTTAATGTCATTTCTGGCATGTTTACTTATTATTAGGTTTACCTTTCTCATTTGTGATGAAGTAGTTGAAATGCTGCAGTGTAATTTACCTACATCCACGCCAGCCTTATGAACAACAGAAGTGACAACTTTCTGGAGAACTGCAGGAGATATATCATTGATTGATGCTGCAAGAGCAACACTACCACTGTAAATATCTTTAGGAATTATGCACGTAATCGGTTTTTCTTTTTCTTTTCTCCTTTTCCAGTTTCCAGGTTCAAAGTCTAAATCATTCAACATTTCTGTATCATTTTCATCAAAATTTGGTTCCTGATCCAAATTTGCTGTAACTTTTAGAGTGCTGTGTTTTCTTTTGAATGTTTTCTTTCGAATACTCTCTCTAGACATTTGACTATATTTTTTATCCTCTGTTCCGAGAAAAAACTTTCTATTGCTTTCTTGGTCATCTAAAAACTTCAAATCTTCAACTTTGTCTTTATCGAATCTTTTCTTGTCAATCATTATGGCATGTCTAAGATTCGGTGTACCAATCCAGAACACTTTCTTCATCTTCTGTATAAAATTATTTTGTTTTTTTAAATCTGTAGGCGATCCTTTCTTTTTAATGCTTTTTTAAACTGTAGTATTCTTTTTCTAGATTACCTAGATGCTTTCTAAGGGTTTTGTCAGAAACTATTGGAAATCCAGCTTTATTCCAAGAAGTTTTAATCAAAGATAATATGCACTTGCATTTTCCATCTTTACATAGACTCTCTTTCATTTTATTAGGCATGCAATATAGTATTGATAACTTTTTCGCATTTGTTTCCAATGTTGATTTGATGTGGTAAAAGTTTTTCAGTATCTCCATTCCAGTTGGAAGTTGTTTACCTTAATAATATACAAAAAGTATTTATTTATGTTAATAATAATATACATACTTCAATACTTGATTACTTATTTTAAAAGTACTTATTTTTTTAAGAAAAGATGTTAATATAAACCATAGTTTTATCTTTTTTTATAAAGTACACATGTGTGCATTAAATTATTCATAAAAAGTAATTCTTGAATGCAAAATAAAGCGTATATAACCATCAATCGACATAATTACTTAATATCACCTGATATAGCTGGATTAGCTTCTCCAATAAGAAAAAAATTTTTTTTTCTTGACCTAAGCTCTATTTCTTCATCTCTTTTTTTAATTTCTTTAATGTTCATTATAAAACCTAAAACACCATAAGTCATAAAATATTATTAGTTAATTAATAGTACTTTCAAAAATAAATACTGAAAAAAAAATTAGTAAGAAAAACAACTAGTTCAAACATACCTGTAAATTCAAGAAAACTGCAAATTCATAAGTTTCTCTCAATATCTGCAATAAAACATCGATAGGGTAACAAGTATTTTATTTTATTTATTATAATCTAAACAAGTAAAATTGTTATGGTCCCACAAATATAATAGAGAAAATAAAATAAATGATAAAAAACAAAATTAAAGTGTAAAACAAAGCGTTTTTTCATTCTTAAAATTCGCGGCAAAATAATTCTTTTTTTTGCGCTTTTTTAACACTTTTTAACACAATAAAACAGAAAAAATAGTCATAATCTGCCTTAACTACCCTTTTTATTTGAAAATATAGATCAATACCTGTATTATGAAAAAAAAAATCAGTTAAAATTATTTATATTATCACCTCCCCCTAGCCCTTCAAACATAGTCGTTTTTGGCGTTTTTTTGACCCTTTTTTTTAATAAATGGACTTTGGGGGAGGCTCAAGAGTGGTCCAATCAGGCTAATTTTTTTCCAAAGTTATTTTTATCACCAATGTCCCACATTTGAAGGGGTCGTTTATTGAAATTCAAAAATTTCCTCAAAAGCAAGTACCCTAATATATACATATATATGTATATATATTTACAAAAAATTGCAATGATTGGAGCCTGGGAACAAAAAAGCCCTAAAATTTTAGCTACACCTGTCCCAAACGTAAGAGCAACAAGTTAATAAAATAATTTTTATACTATTCTTAACTAAATCTATATTCATCGACAAATTTTAAAATTCACACAAAAATCTTTTAGCGTTCAAAAACTGACAATAAAAAGTTTTAACCCCCTCAATTTGAGGGGGTTGCAAATTTTATAATGCCATAACTGTTGAACACTAATAGATCCTTATGTGACATAGGTATAAACATATAAATATTTGGAGTTTGTTCCATGTCCGGAAGTTAGCTATCTCAACGACCAAAAAATGCTGGATCCGCCCCTGTATATATATATATATATATATATATATATATATATATATATATATATATACATATATATATATATATATATATATATATATATATATATATATATATATATATATATATATATATATATATATATATATATATATATATATATATATATATATTTAAACTTCGAGCAGCGGAAGAAAGACAAGATACTAAAGTCAAATAAAATAATTTACAAAGAAGCGCAAAAAGAAAAATTAAAAGGACCAGATAATTTTAATATTCTGCAAAGGCATAGGTGTCTAGCTGTCATCGAAAGAAAATTTACAACAACAACAACTACAACAGCCTTCTCCAACATAAGAACTGATTCGTTTAATAACTTAATTTTTTTTTTGTAACAAAACTGAAAAACATTACCTTCGAGGAACAATTGTATAAAAATGACAGCAGCACCATTAATTTTTCAATTTAATGATGCTGCTAATGGGGAAGTTTTTTTTTCAAGCCCCTTTGGAATCAATCCACCCAAGAAAATGAGTCCGACTACTAAAAGCTCAACCTTAAGTCTCTATCCAATTGCAACCTTCACAAACAGAATCATTGGATTCTAAAACCTCTTCATCAAACTCTCCTAAATACAAACCGAAATACCAAAGAGCAAGCACTAAAACAGCTGGTTTACTAGTACTAAAAAATAACATTTCTACACATATAGCACATGATGTTCTAGCAACTATTCTATGCAACTAGCTGAACAGAGTCATAATGTGCCGGTTCCAAGTCAGGCTGGCGTCTAGTAAAAAGTTATCTCTGAATGACAGAAAATGAAAACCAAAATTGTTCAAAAACTTCAAAGTAAAAATTCCTATTGTCTCCAGATTGGTGGTAAAAAATTTCAAGCGTAAGAGTATCAAGTAGTTCTGCTGAACAAATATTAGTAAGTATTAGTTGTTTGCACGGGATTGTAAATCTCATTCAGGATGATATGTTGAGCAAGGGCTTTCAGAAACCACAGTATATTGGCTGTCAACACCATGTACTTTACCTCCTTCTGAAACATGTCATGAATTTTCTTATTCAAGAGCCAGGACTCAACTACTCCTTCATTGACAAGTTAAAAAAGAACAATGTCTCTTCAGGCTGATTTTTACCTCGTTGTGACAGATGGTGATAACACTGGCAAAACCCTTGATGATGAGGAGATTTCAATTACTTATATGAACTATGTCAGGTATATCGTCATTATAGAACAATTTTACATTGGCCTCGAATCAGCTGGAAGAAACTCCCAAATTTACATTAGGCAAGATGGAACTCACATGCATTATATACTGTTATAGCATTCTTTCTAAAACCAGAGACGTACAGCATCCTTGCTCCAGCATACAATTTTATCTCCTATAAATGGGAAAATACTTGGTTCCATTCACAACACAGCGATGAAACCTCCTTCGATAAACTCTTTTCCTCACTCATCAAAATAAAATGCATGAAGGCAATTAAGTGTTAAAAGACAACTAAGTGTTTAAAGGTTATTAAGTATTTAAAGTTTAAAGAGGAGTTTTTTTTCGAAAAAGGACCTTTTTTAAAAAAAATCCAAAATGCTGCTTATATTCTTAAATAACACAAAAAGTTTCTTTTTGTTTTATTTAAGAATATAAATAGCATTTTGGTTTTTTTTTTTTGCAAGTGGTTTCATAAAAAAATTTCTTTGTTATTACCCTAATATATATATATATATATATATATATATATATATATATATATATATATATATATATATATATATACATATATATATATATATATATATATATATATATATATATATATATATATATCTATATATATATATATATATATATTATATATAATATATATATATATATATATATATATATATATATATATATATATATCTATATATATATATATATATATATATATATATATATATATATATATATATATATATATATGTATATATATATATACATATATGTATATATATATATATACATATACATATATATATATATATATATATATATATATATATATATATACATATATATATATATATATATATATATAAATATATATATATATATATATATATATATATATATATATATATATAAATATATATATATATATATATATATATATATATATATATATATATATATATATATATATATATATATATATATATATATATAGTATGTATATATATAGTATATATATATATATATATATATATATATATATATATATATATATATATATATATATATATATATATATATATATATATATATATATATATATATATATATATATATATATATATATATATATGTAATATATATATATATATATATATATAAATATATATATATATATATATATATATATATATATATGTAATGGTAGCTTTATATAAATAAGTTGTTAAACTTTATTAGGATATTTTATATATTCTTTAGAATCTCATACTTGTGGATGGAAATGCTGCATACAATAATTGGGCTGGTACTGATGGATTATCACCTGTTATGCACTTTTATATATTTAATTATACTAATGTTGATGACATTTTACATGGCGTAAAACCTAAAATTCAGCAGTTGGGACCATATTCATATAGGTATTTATTAAATCATAGTGTAATAACAATATTTAATAAAATGTAAATAATAAAATATAAATAATGTAAAAAAAACATTTAAATTGCTATAAAAATATTTTATTCCAGGGGCCAATGCTATAAACAGTTCAAAGATTTTATCAGGAAAAAAAATCTTTTGTAAAAACATAATTTTTTGAGTAAATTATTTCACGTAAAAAAATGCGTTGACACAAAATTTTTCTCACTGTTTGATTTTTTTTTACCAATGCTATAAAACTTAAGGAAATAATACGTCACTCACAACTACGATTTTTTTAATAACTGTTTTGCGAATTTTATCAAGTTTATCTCAAGACCTTTTATTACATTTTAGTATTCGGTTTTTAAAAAGACTATATCTAAAATTACAATTTTAAACGGATTTAATTTTTTCTAACGAAAAGTGGGTTTAGAAGTTGCTACACCACCGACTGCCCCGAGAGATTTGCGTTAAAAACATTATTATTTAAAAGTTAATAACTTTCATATCTAGTTGATTGAAAGATACTCTCTAACCTATATCTCTCTTCAAGAGAGGTATAGGTTTTTTGATCGAACAACAAATTTATCTTATAAAATTAGATTCGACAAGAGATCATAAAATAGCCCAATGATTGCGCTATTTTTCCACAAAAACTTATGGAAATTGGAGGTTTTCCTTGCGTATGTGGTGTTCTGGATGGCTCTCATATAATCCTATCTAACCCTCCCAACGATCACGAAGATTCTCTAATTAATCGCCACCATGTTCATAGGATAAATGCAACGGCATTATGTGGACCCAACACATATATTTGATATGCTTCGACTAACAGTCCAGGAAAATGGCATGATGCACATGTATATCTGCTAAAAAAATATTTTTGCAACTGTTGGTGCAATAAGGCTTTTCATATTGTAGTTTAGATTTTTATTGCAAATGACATTGTTTAGGTTAAAAGAAATTCTAACCTTTAGAACAAATTCGAAAATGAGAGCTTCTTTTTAATGGTGCTCTAATTTTGGCAGACTCTGCTTACCCATGTCAAAAATGGTTAATTCCACTTTTTCCTGGTGATCCAGACGGCAACTTTATACATTACTTAAAATAAATGAACATAGAAACTTTTGGTAAAATTTCATATATTTTCTTTTTTGTTCTCAAGCATGAGGTCTATAACTATATTTTAGACATGGATCAAGGATTTGTGTTTAAAATATTTGGAATATTAATACTTACGAATATTATGATTGGTAACAAATATAAAAAAAAAAGGGAATAGTAATGATAATTAAACAAAAATGAATAATTTTTTATTAAACCCAAGAAATTTTTATAGAACTTTAGACTGTTACAGTTAAATGTGTAAACTCTTTTGGAATGTTTTTTAAGCTACCCAATTTTTTTTTATTAAAATAAGTTACTAATAGGAAGGCTAATTAGGTGCGTACTTCATAAATGCAAATCTATATAAGTACGATTTTAATTTTATGAAAAAATAAAGTATATACAATGACTGATACTTGGGACACTTGAAGCAAAATGTACATACATAGATCTACTGTTGGGTTTTGGGAAGGAAAGCTGATATTATTTTGTTTTATTCATTTATTATAAAAGAGTTGAAACCATTTTGTGCAGGTACGCAAATTCGCTCTTACACTAGTTTTTTTAACTGCTTCGCATTCGTGAAGATTTTCACTTATGCACATTAGCACTTCTGCCAATTGCTAACAATAACTTTAAATTTTGAAAATTCATTTTAAATTGTATAAGAAAATCCTCTTTTAGGGTTACGTTAAAAGTGGCCCTGTGGTGCTGTGCAGGCCATAAGTATTAATAATAAAGGAAATACTATTAAATAAAGATTCTATTTATTTTTTTTGTTTTTGTAAAAAAATGCTAAACAAAGAATTCACTGGTTACAACACAAAGAGTTCACTGGTTACTACACAAAGAGTTCACTGGTTACAACACAAAGAGTTCACTGGTTACAACACAAAGAGTTCACTGGTTACAACACAAAGAGTTCACTGGTTACAACACAAAGAGTTCACTGGTTACAACACAAAGAGTTCACTGGTTACAACACAAAGAGTTCACTGGTTACAACTCAAAAAGTTCACTGGTTACAACACAAAGAGTTCACTGGTTATAACACAAAGAGCTCACTAGTTACAGTTAAACTATTCTACAAAATGAGAGTTAATTATAGTTACAATACTTTTTTAAATTAAAAATAATAAAACTAATAAAAAAGTTATATCCACTCTTAGTTTATTTTCTTCCGTTTCATTTACTGCCTAAGGATTGCTTCCTAAAACAAAAAAAAATATAATACACTATTTTAAACTTTAATCTAGAATATTATTTACATTTAGTTTTAAAATGTATTAAAATTACCATGTCTATATTTATAAAGTGCTGCTGGTTAGAAAGTGGCAATTTATCATTCATAAGCTGTGTTGCAGTGGTATAATATTTGGTAAGCGCTTTCTCTTTTCGTATTTGCTGTTTTCTGAGAGCAACATTTAATTTCAAAAGTTGAAGTCTTAAAGATTGTTCTTTCTGAAAGCTGAAGTCTTAAAGATTTGTAATTTTTCTTTTTCCAATCCCAAAACATTTACTTTTAATTTTTTTAAATTTTCATCTACCAAGAGACTTTCTCGAGATTTGTTTTCTTTTCAGGCTTTTTAATGCTCCAGTTGGTTTTTTTTTTTTTTTTTAGGTGAATCTGTGAAATTTAATTTTAAAATTTAAATTTAACAGATAAATAAAAATCTAGTTACAAATAAAATTCAGTTTAATTACTGAAAAATACTATTAATTTAATATTGTTTAACTAAATACTAAAATTTCCAAATCAAAAAAAATATATAACCTTGATGTATTGATTCAGCAAAAGCAAAAGTGTCTAAATGAGGGGTGCCTGTATTGTCAAATCTTGGACCTAATGCAAGTAATTTTATAGGTAGTATGCAAGGTATGCAAGTAAATTTGTTTTATACATTTTATCAACAACTATTAAAAAATTTAAAACTTTTATTATACATTAAAAACTTTTATCTTATAAAACAACTTGACTCAAATAATTAAAATATACCAGATATAGATGAAATAAAAGAATCTGCATTTAAAGACTGTTCTGAGACAATTGACCTAATTTCTTTACTTGATGTTGAAGGTTGACTTGAAGTGAGTGGAATTACCTCATCATTTGAACCAAACGAGATATTGATATCAGGGACATCAATTCCTGACACATTTATTGATTTTCTATCAACTATGTCTAAAACAACGTTATCCAATTCCGTTAATTGGATTCCCTCAGCACCTTAAAAGTAATGTCTAATTTAGTAAAAAAAACATAACTTATTAAAAAACCCATGAAAACATAAACACATATCCACACACACTTTAAGACTACCTGTTTTTAGACTTTTAGAAAACTTGGCAATTGTAGCTCTTCGCAAATAATCCCATTCTCGACTACGCAATCGATTAATGTCTTCAATTTTTGCCCCTAGACTGTTTTAACTTGATATTATATCTTCCCAAACTTTGTTTCTATGTTTCATGGTAATGGATGGACCTAAAATGTTAAAAGAAAATTGATTGAATCATTATATATTTATAAAAAAATTTGTGTATAGTAAAGTATACAACTACTGTTTAAGTAGAATACAAATGCTTATATATATACATCTTCAATGCAAGTACCATTTTAAGTTCTTTAGACAACATTTTATCCTCTTGTGTTGAAATAAATGTGAAAATATTTTGCCAGTACTTATACATTTCTTTATGTCGAGCATTAAAATAAATTTGGTTAACCAAAATAACCATTAAAAGTTTTGTTGAAAATCATTGAAAGTTAAACACATACATAGTTTCCAACATACAACATGGAACAGAGTGATCTATTAAATGTAATTTAGAAGTATTTTGTTTATTAATGAGTTTAACTACATAACAAAGGAATATTGAAAACTTTTTGCTATTTCTTTGTGGAAAATAATGTTTCGAATAGCTATGTTTGGGTATGTTAAGTTTGATCACCTATTGATTGTGTCTTTTATACGTAAAATACCGCAATGCAAAATCTATAGCAATTTTATATCTTTGTGGTTGTATAAATTTCATAGAAATAATGCTTTTTAGTTTAGCACATAAAATATCCAAAGACAAAATAAACACTGTAAATTTAAAAACTAAGACACTGTAAATTTAAAGCACTAGCGTTGTTACAAGAATGGCAGAAAAACCTCGAGAAAAATATCTAAAATTGAGATCCATAGGTCTACCTAGAGTTTTTTATCGAAAAAACATGTTTTTTATCTGAAAAAGTGATTCCCTTGTTTGTTTATAGCATTGGCCTATTTAGCGAAGTTTTATTCGTAAAAACGATTATTTTTAATGTTTATAGCAATGGATTTTTTTTACTTTGCTTTTTATGCAAAAAACTATGAGTTTTACAGAAAAAACTTCGGTTTTTTTGTTTATAGCATTGGCCCCTGTTCATGAAATAATAAGCAAAGTTTGAAATAAGCAAAGCACTTGCTTCTTTCAAAATATAATTAATCTCCCTTGAACATTTGTTTTATCTTATGAAGTTTACCAATATTTATTCTGCATAAAAAGAATTTTAAATTTGTCTAGTTATAGTTTTCAAGTGATATTAATGTTGAAACTTTATGATATTTACAAATTATTATAATATAAGTTATTCAAAACACAATTTTAATATAACATATTCATTTGAAAAAAAGTTCTTATAATTCTAAGACCTAGACTAAGTATTGGATGAAATTTAGTTCAAAATTTTACAAAAACAATTACTAAAAGTACCTGTAGCAGCATTATTATTTCAACATTTGGCAACATTGACAAGTAGAAGTTTTATTGTATGCTTTTATTCAAATTAATTTTGAAGAATTTTAAAGTGGAAATATTTTATAAGAATATTGGCATTTTTGGATTTTGTTTATGTTATGTTTTTTTATTTACATTTTTTTGTTTTGATACAAACAAAATTAAAAAAAAAAACGTCTCTAAATGATAGCCTCAATAATTTTATTAAATTTAAGTTTTATAAACATGCTACATAATATTTATTAGAAGCATTTTATTATGTTATTTATAGAAAAGGAAATTGAATAACCAAAATTAATAATTATAAAAATAATTTTATTTTAAAGATAGATAGTGAGCTATTAACATGTATGTGATGGTGTTAATTACAATAAACAAAAAGTAAACAATGTGTAATTTTATGATATTTGTAATTTTATAACATTTTTTCTTTTTGTAATTAAAAAGTAAACAATTTGTTAGGGAGTGAAAGTTTTGTTAAGGTTAATTTATCGAATTTAAATAAATTAGAAATATGTAACTCATTTATTCCATAAAATTGTTATTAAATACTTATTTGAATTTCCTGCTTATTTGAAGAAATTTTAATTCCCCACGAATTTTCCTTAACAAACCCATGCAAATACCCATCAGTTATTCGAACACACAGTTATTCAAAATTTCGGTTAATTAAAACAATTTTTTACTCCCCTTGACAAAAACCCTGTCAGTTATTCAAAGTTTTTGTTTGTTTGAAAATACCATTCCATTGCATTTCAAAATGTAACGTTTAGTAAAACGTTGTCAAAATATTACAAACGAAATAATCTCTTTAAAATAAAATTAAAAAATCGAAAACATTGCAAAGTAGTGCGGTAGAAGTTTCAACATGGTATCTAAACAAAAGAAAACAGTTCTGACAATCAAAGAAAAGTATCTTGTTCTTAAAGATTTAGAAAAAGGACTAACTAAAAAAAATGTTGCAAAAAAGTTCAGTTTTCCTCAAAATACTTTAACTTACTGGATTATGCATAAAAAAGACATAATTAGCAAGTATGAGTCAGGTCGATTTGGAGCAATAAGACAAAAGTTAAGTTTGGGAAAGCATGATTCCATTGATAAAGCTGTATATAAATGGTTTATGAGCGCACGTGAACAAAATGTACCGATTGGTGGACACATTGTTAGAGAAAAAGCTTTAGGTTTTGCAAAAGAACTCAACATTGCAGATTTTAAGGCTTTAGAAGGGTGGCTTGATTGGTGGAAAAAAAGACATAATGTTGTTTTTCGAACTATTTCTGGCAAGGAAAGGTCATGTACAGCGGAAAAGACATCAAGTTGGGAGCAAACCCATTTGCCCACTATCCTCTTAAGGTATGAATTGAGAGATGTTTACAACACTGACGAGTTTGGTTTATTTTATCAACAGCCACCGACAAAAACTTTCATCTAAAAGGTGAACAATGTGCAGGAGAAAAATTAAGCAAAGTTCGTTTAACAGGCTTAGCAGCAGGCAATGGGGTTGGTGAAAAGCTGCCTATTTTTATAATTGGAAAAGCAGAAAAACCACAATGTTTCAAAGGTGTCAAAAGCCTACCTTGTCAATACAAGTCCCAAAGTAATTCCTGGATGAACTCTAAAATTTTTACTGATTATGTAAGGAGATTTGACGCAAAGTTTAATGCTGAGGGTAGAAAAGTTGCACTAATCATAGATAACTGCCCAGCTCATCCTAATGTTGAAAATCTCAAAGCAATTGAATTAGTATTTTTACCACCAAACACAACCTCCAAAACGCAACCAATGAACCAGGGAGTCATAAAAGCATTGAAGACTTTTTATTGCACAAATGTTGTGAAGCGTCAGATAAAATACATCAATGCTGGTAAAACGACCCCAATTATCAACATTCTTGAAGCTATGAGCATGTTGGTCAAGTCATGGGATGCTGTATTGACTAATACTGTCAGTGAAGAACCCAGAGTTTATTTGGGGATACCTTTTTTTTTCCAGCAATGTTGATTGGGGGGGGGGGGGGAATTATGTTTTTGATTTACCCCTCCCCCTCATTCTCCCCTACTTAAACGGGTGCCGCAACAATAAATTTTAATCATCATTTTCCTTATAATCATTCATGTTTATCTTGTTAAGTTTTATCCTATAATAAGGTGTTGATTTAAAAGCATATTTTGAGTACATGAATTTACTGGTGGACGATGTTACTTTAGCTAAAAGAAAATTATTACTTCAGATTTTAATAAGCGCTTTTGCTGCATATACCACGCTATAAGTAAATAATAATTGAAAATTGTTTAAAGTATTTTAAACATTTATTAACTATATATTAGTAGATTTAATCTAAAATAATAATTAAAAATATTTTAAACAGTTTTTATCAATATTTACATAATATATTTACATATATTATATCGGGTAGTATTTATAAAATTAACAAAATAGTTTTACATCTTGTATTTGAATTAAAAACATAAGCATTTAATAAACAAACTCGATAAGCATTTAATAAACGTATTTAATAAACTATTCAAATAAAAACATAAGCATTTAATAAACTTATTTTCTATTATTTTAAATTTAAAATTTTGGTTTAAATATTAGTAAATCTGTTCATTTAACTTTTACTAAAGGTTAAAATTTTTAAAGTGATTTTAAGGTACCTTTTAAATTCAAGATAATTAGAGATAACTACAGTAAATATAATTTGAAAAATATTCTATTATTTTGATTAAAAACCATATTATATTTTTAAAAACACATGTTTAAAAATATTTTTTTTTTTAATTATTAAGAATAATTTTAAAAATTACATTTGAATAAATAAATTACATTTACTATGGGTTATTTTAAACAGATCTAAATAAAACTTTTATAAAGATATTGAAACCTTTTTTTTATTATTTTAAAAAGAATATTGAAAGGAAAAAAAACTGTCTGAAAACGTTTATACATCGTTTTTTTGTTTTCCTTAAGTAAACTAAAATAGCAAGTTAAAGATCAAAAGTTCATTCATTTAAAAATTAAACTTGCACAATAGTTACAAGGACTGATATTTTTTACTTTTGTTTATTAATTATCAAAAGCAGTTTACTCTTAATTGCCAAAAACAAAAATTAACCTTACGCTGAATGGATATTTAAAAGGGATTTAACTTTTAAAAAAGCAAATCTTTTATACATTCAACTATTATTAAATTTTGCAACGTGTTTTTAAAATTAAGTTTTGTAACGACTTTCACTTTTTTTAAAAGTTATGTCCAGTTAATAGCCGAAGGCAAATTACGTCACTTAGTTATGTAAAAAAGCAATTTCTTTTTAATTCTTTTTATTTTCCTGAAGAAAAAATGAGGTAGCTAAATTAAACTGAGAATTATTTATATTTTATTGCATTTTAAACTGAACTTTTTTCTCTATTTTTCATAAAAAATCAAACGAAAAATTAAAAATAAAAATAATTTTTGGGCTCTTTTTTTTGGGTGCCCATACCGGTAAAACATTACTAAAACACGTCTGGGTTCTTCACTGACTGTAATAAATTGTTTTAGAAAAGCAGGTATCTCAGAGGAAATTCCGGTTGCAAGTATAAATGGTGAAGAAGATCCTTTTGAATCGCTTGAAGAAAATGTCAAAGAGCTTATATCATGTGGCTTAGTAGAGAAAGATTTTGCTGTTGAAGATTACGTAAACATAGATTTTGATATTTGTACAAGCGAAGCAATCGCTATCACAGATCGAGAAATTCTGGATTCCATTTTAATCAACAATTGTGCTGAGGTAGATGAGGAGATAGATGAAGATTCTAACAATTTGCCTCCCGTAAAGCCAAAATTATCAGAGGTTGCATGTGCAATAGAGTTAATTGAATGTTGGTCTCTTTTTGAAAATAACGGTGTCAAAATCTGACAATCGCTAAACCTAGTATCAAAGATGTTTGACAAACATTCTTTAGAGGCAAAAAAGCAATAGAAAATGAATGATTTATTCGAAAAATTGTAAAGATTTTATTTCTTCATTTTAGATTTTTTTTAGAAGGTAAAGACTTAAACGGCATCTTATTCCAAAGTTTTTCTTCTTTTTTTACTTTCTACTATTGTAACTTAAAATTGGTCACTTTAAAGAAGATTTTCAGTTATTCGAACTTTCGGTTATTCAAAGTAAATTCTTATTCCCCTTGGAGGTTTGAATAACCGGGAGTTTACTATATATATATATTATATATATATATATATATATATATATATATATATATTATATATATATATATATATATATATATATATGTATAGATATATAATATATATAATATATATATATATATATATATATATATATATATATTAGTATATATGTATATATATATATATATATATATATATATATATATATATATATATATATATATATATATATATATATATATATATATATATATATATATATATAGGGTGGCCCATAAGTCACTTTACATTTTAAAAATTAAATAACTTTTTTTCTATTAATATATTTCTAATTCTCTTTTCAGAATTAGAAAATATAATCTTTGGAAATTTTTGATAAGTTTACAACTGAACAACAAGTGAAGATAAATGAATTTTACTTTGAAAATGGACGGATGAATTTTACTTTGAAAATGGACAATAATAAAATTAGTGACGCATTTTCAAGAGCATGGCTCTGTAAATGATAGGACTAGAAGTGGACAAGGTCGTTCAGTACATACACTTGAAAATACTGAAGCTGCGAGCCGTAGCATTGAAGAGAACCCAACCACATCCACTTGAAGGCGTTCTCAAGAACTTGACATCTCACGTAGTTCTCTGCAGAGTATTCAAAGAGACTTGCACATGTACCCTTACAAGATTCAATTACTGCAATCTTTACAACCACCAGACTTTCAAAAACGACTAGATTATCCTGTCAGGTTTCAGAGAACTGCAAGAAATGACAATGAGTTTATTTACAAGTTGATCATGGGAGATGAAGATCATTTCCATTTGAATGGACATGTGAATAAGCAGAATAACAGATTAAGGGGCACCAAAAATCCACACCAAGTTCATGCCAGTCCATTACACCCGGTTAAAGTCACAACATGGTGTGGAGTAACATCAGTAAGGGTTATTGGGCCCTTCTTCTTTTTCTTTGAAGATGTAAATAAAAATGCAGTGACTGTAAATGCTGAGAAATATCGAGACATGCTAGCGAATTTTGTTCAACCTCAGTTAGCAAACATGGCAGGGTATTTGTGGCAACAAGATGGATCAACTGCACATACTGCTAGAGCCGCAATGCAGTTATTTACTGCAATATTTCAGGATCGGATAATCTCTCTTAAATCTGATTTTGAATGGCCTCCGCGTTCTCCTGATTTGACAGCACCAGACTTTTGGCTTTAGGGATATCTTAAAGACAAAGTGTATGCAAATAAGCCCCAAACTATTCAAGATCTTAAGGCAAACATACAACAGGAAATTCTTTCCCTACAACTTCAGATGTTAAGAAGTGTTGTGGAAAATAGCTTAAAAAGAGCTCGACTTCGAGAATGGAGTCTATTTAAGTGGCATTATCTTTCGTAACTAAGTCAGAACTAACTTACAGACTCTAAATTTTGTAATAAAAAAAGAATTAATTAAATACAGTCCTTTAAGAAAAAGTTATTTAATTTTTAAAACGTAAAGTGACTTATGGGCCACCCTGTATAACAGAAATTATACTTAAAACCACTAAAACTATAAGAGATCATTTGAACCTACTTAAACTGTGTGAGATACCAAAAGTATATATATATATATATATATATATATATATATATATATATATATATATATATATATATATATATATATATATATATATATATATATATATATATATATATATATATATATATATATATATGTATATATATATATATATATATATATATATATATGTATATATATATATATATATATATATATATATATATATATATATATATATATATATATATATATGTATATGTGTATATGTATATGTATGTATGTGTGTATATATATATATATATATATATATATATATATATATATATATATATATATATATATATATATATATATATAATATTATTTTAAGGTGAGGTGATAAAATCTGAACCATACAAGAGAGGTGGAACAATAGATTTGCAAATCTATTGTTCCACCTCTCTTGTATGGTTCAGATTTTATCACCTCACCTTAAAATAATATTATATATATATATATATATATATATATATATATATATATATATATATATATATATATATATATATATATATATATATATATATATATACACATACATACATATACATATATACATATACATATATATATATATATATATATATATATATATACATATATATATATATATATATATATATGTATATATATATATATATATATATATATATATATATATATATATATATATGTATATGTATATATGTATATGTATGTATGTGTATATATATATATATATATATATTATATATATATATATATATATATATATATATATATATGTATATGTATATATGTATATGTATGTATGTGTATATATATATATATATATATATATATATATATATATATATATATATATATATATATATATATATATATATATAATATTATTTTAAGGTGAGGTGATAAAATCTGAACCATACAAGAGAGGTGGAACAATAGATTTGCCCTTATTATTGATACTGTTAAAGATTTTCCATAAGTCAGGAGAGCCTAATTTTTGAGATGAAATATGAAATTTTGTAACTTGAGGATAGAAAATTACGGTAAGAGTCCAAGTCAGCTTTAAGGTAATTATAAGAGGTACAAATATAGGGGGATTCTGATGATGAAGAAGATTAAATCACGTTCAGAAACACCTAAGGCTGGATGTGGAGTACTGACTAGGATCAGAAACAAGACATAGGTGGAGTTGAGAAGGTAAATGATTCAGATTGCCTGGAAAGTTTTTGGTACTTAAGTCATTTTTAAATTTGTTAAAGCACTAGATTCAGATAGTACTTGAGAAATAGTACTACAGAAAGAATTTGACTCAGATAGTACAAGCACAGATAGTACTCAGTATACTAATTAATAGCTCAAGTAATTGCCTCATTACAATTAATAAATCCTAAGCTGTAACAAAGGGCTCCAAATGTGGCCTCAACAATGCACACCAAAAGTACAAAAAGGGACACCATCCACAACATGGCATTGTTAGTTCTCTGATATTTTACAGCTGTTGATGGTATCTTTAGGAACTAACACAGAGTTTGGAAAACCTGACTACCAGCCAAACTCAGAACCATAAAACTGAGTTTTAAAGCTGTATCCTGATTAGGAGATAATAAAATGAATTGCCTAATCATAAAAACAGAGACAAAAGCAAAACACATGCATTGAGTCAAGAAGATCCAGCATTCAACATTCTAAACTGGAAACAATGTATTATAAATACATGCGGGTCAGCTTAATAAATGAGTATATAGGATCGGTTAATATTATAGGGTAATAATAATACATGAACATATAGATAATTGATAATGAGATAATAATTATATTAATAGATGAATATATAAGATCTTAATAGATGATTATATAGAATCTATTAATATTATAGGGTAAAAGTTTTGTTATTATTGTAAAAAACTCATTTTATTAGCCAATTTTGTGTCAAATTAAATTGGCTTTCAACCTTGAATAACATCATGAGATTTTATTTACAAAAAAAAGCAAAAATATTATTTTTCTTGATTGTGCTTATTATTCATATTTAAGTTTTAAATAATTTATCTCCTTCTTTTGATTAATTGCCACAAAAAAATTTTTACTTGTTTTTTTATATTGACGACAATATAGTAGACACTAAATCTTATCCAAATAAAACATGTTGTTGTTTAAGATGAATGTATTTAAGAAAATTTTCAAAAAAAATTCTATTTTATAATTATTTTGTTTATAACTTATATTTTAGAAACAATTTAAAATTTATAAACTTATATTTCTTTAACTTTATAACTATATTTCATAAATACTTTTTTATAGATTCTATTTTTTAAAAATAGAAAAAGAGGGCTCTATGATAAGACCATCAGGTCTTCTTAGAGCACCTTGATAATTAAAATAAACAAAAATCTTAAATATGTTAATAACATGAAATTAAATTATAATTTCACACCCCTTCTAGATAAAGAGCAACTGCTAATACTAGATGAAAAAGACGTAAAAATCTCCTAATGCTTATATCAGTTATAGATATGTAAATGCTATCAAATCACGAAAACCTTTTCCAGATCTTGCAAGTCTCAAATGTGGATCACTGCCTCATTCTCTCTGGATTAAAACGGGTATAACTGATGTTTTTGTGGACAAGAAATCATAACTTTAAATACAGTGAACTGAAGATCTTAAAGATATTAGTTGAGTTTAGCATCCAAAATTTCAAACTTTACTTTAAAATCTCTACCAAACATCTGTTGGAGGACGTACCAAAGCACATTTTGCTTTAACTTAAAAATCATAAGATACTTCAAGTCAATTTGGTGAACATTTTCACACCATATATACAAACTAGGGTTTCATAGTGAGTGTATTCTGATTTCACACTTGATTAGCTCTAATAAAATTGAAAGAAATTTTGGTATTGATAAGATTTTACAAACTAGAGGGAATAATGAGCTAGGAGACATAGTTGTTTAAAAAAGAATATCTTCAATTATTAATGCAACTAATCTTCAAGAGTTTAATTTTTTGGAATCTAAAAGGTTGTTATAAACTAATATTTACATGCAATCTTTCTAAAGCTGAGATCTCCAAATTCTTTGAAAAATGATAAAAATTCCTAAGTTTGCTCAGTACGCTGCAGCGAGAGCATTACAAAAACATCTGCCATTGTTTATATTCAAGAAAGAAGAGATGGATTTGTCAAAACTAGAATGATACATAATAAAGAACTTCCCATCTTTAAATCAAAAAAAGGTGTTTTTGAGATAATGTAACTAAGAAATAAAAGAAAAAATGAAAGAAAATCGTCTATTTACTCTTACTAACTTTATTAAATGTATCAATATTGTATACAAATTACAATAAAGTATACAAATTACAATATTGTATACAAATTACAATATTGTATACAAATTAAAATATTGTATACAAATTTTACTACAAATACAAATTACTACAATACAAATTTTATGTTAAAATATTGTATACAAATTTTACTGTTTACACTTTGGTCAAGTTAAACTTTTGACTTCTTAAAAAAATGGAACAATTTATTAGGTTTTTGAAATTTATTTGTGTTCAACACAAAACTTTTGTAAAAATTTTAATTACTTCAAATTAGAAGTTAGTACATTTTAAATAAAATATTTTACAAAAAAATAAATTTTTTCGATGAAGTTATAAATCTATTGGCAAACTAAACAATATGAGATGGATTAATTTTTTAATAGAAAACCTATTCCCCTTCATTAGGGATTATGACATTAACTCATTTATTTAGAGCTAGGTAAGGAGGGAGAGAAAGGGTGTTACCAGGCTCTAATCATTAATAAAATTCAATCGGTTTCTGACAAAACAACTTGATTTGACATAAGTATGAATATAAAATGATTCAAAGTTTTCACTTTTCTAAAAAATAAAAAATGTTATAGTTAATGGTCTAATGCCTAACTGAAAGCATTTATTGCAATCGTCTAAACATTTTCGAATTAAAAAACACAAAATAGAAACTCTTAATTATACATTTCAATTTAATTTTAATAGAAATATAATAACATGCTTTAAAAACTTGTGCATTTTATAAATTTTATAAAGATCAAGATTTGCCAGACATGATTTGTTCATTAGTTCATATATGCATGTATATATATATACATATATATATATATATATATATATATATATATATATATATATTATATATATATATATATATATATATATATATATATATATATATATATATATATATATGTATATATATATATATATATATATATATATATATATATATATATATATATATATATATATATATTCATATATATATATATATACATTAGGGTGTCCCAAAAAAAAACATTTTTGAAAATAATCTGCTCTCACCCGCCAAATGTGTTCTATCTAATGCAAAAACACTAGGTTTAAATTTTTTTCGAATAAAAAATGTTTTAAGGGGTCCCTCAAGACCCTCGAATATTTAATGGGTCCCTAATATTTTCGAAAAAAAAGTTTTTCAAAAATATGTCAACCTGGTACTCAAATGAAGCGAAATTATATAAAAATTTTATAAATTATGTTCATTTCAAAACAAAATTGTTATTTTTGGTTTTATTACATAAAAAATTGCGATTTTTAAGAAAAAAAAAAAAAAATGCATTTCAAATGTTTTTTTATGATAATTTTGATAAATAAGTTAAAAATATTTCAGAATGAATATTATTTTTGAAATATTTATATAATTTCGCTTCATTTGAGTAACAGGTTGATATATTTTTGAAAAACTTTTTTTTCGAAAATATTAGGAATCCATTAAATATTCGAGGGTCTTAAGGGACCCCTTAAAATATTTTTTATTCAAAAAAAATTTAAACCTAGTGTTTTTGTATTAGATAGAACACATTTAGGGGGTGAGAGCAGATTATTTTCAAAAATGTTGTTTTTTGGGACACCCTAATATATATATATATATATATATATATATATATATATATATATATATATATATATATATATATATATATATATATATATATATATATATATATATATACATATATATATGTATATATGTATATATATATATATATATATATATATATATATATATATATATATATATATATATATATATACACAACCCTCGGAATTAGGAAAAATGAGGTCAGCAATAATTTGCTGACCTTAATCAGTAGCATAGTGACAAAAAATAGTCCTCCCCGCAAAAATTTAATCTGCGCCCCGAAATTACTTTTCTGCTATCACCTTCCTCCATTCCCCATTTCTTGACAAAAATTACACATAAAAAAAAACCTTATCTTTAAATTTAATTTTGATTTAATTAAATAGAAATCAGTATGTTACACTATGCAAGTCAATAAACTTGCATACTGTAACATACTGATTTCTATTTTTGGTGTTATAGACCAGTGTTATAGGTCAGTTTGCCTAAAAGATGTTACAGATCAATATGCAGCTATAAAGACAAGAAAAAAAAAACTAGAAAAAAAAGATTTTCTACTTACTATATTTCTCATTTATAAACATTTTACAATGTTCTTGTTTCACAATTTTTATCAATAAAATTTAAATAAAAATTAATAACAGCAAGAGCAAGGTTTTATACTTACTATAGTACTACTATATTAAGTACTATAGTAAGTAGAAAATCTAATGGAAATTTTTTTCTTGTCTTTATAGCTGCAAATTGGTCTATAACACTTTTTAAACGAAGCAGATTTTTTTACTCGGGTTAGGTTTTAATATGTGGAGTAACCCAAGGATCATACATTTTCTTTGTTTTATTAACCTTGGGAATAAAATATTCGCAATAAGTACAATTTTTAGAAATTAAAAATTTGATCCGCAATTTCATGGAGAAGTAAAATATTTCAGTTGATTGATGCAATAAAGTTTGATATTGAATTGTAATCACCTGCTATAACTAAACAACTAAAATTCACTTTCGGAAAACGGTTTTAAAACTAAAATTCCTCAAGTGATACTAAAGCGGCCCTTATATTAGTATTATTACAGTATTATTACCTCATATAGCATTTGGAAACAATTTTAAAATAGAACTACTTCTCCAACATATGGTTACTAAGTTCAACATATGTAGGAAACGTGATATGTTAAAATTACCGACAATAAAGCAGCCATTATTGGGCTTCCTAATTAAGCTATGAGCTATTTTGAAGGACTCTGTAATATATTATATTAAACTAGCATCATTTGGTCTAAGTATAACCTAGATAAGTATATGTTTATTGGTAATTTTTACATATAACAAAACTTATTTGAAAAAAGTTTTATAGAACTAATTAACTTCATGAGAGATAAATACATCAGTAATGAAGATAGCTTCACTGCCACCTCGACGTCCATCTTAGCAATCTTTTTTTTAAAGTGAGTTATTGTTTTAATACAATTACTTCAATATTGTGCTTTGCTTTAAAACCTTACGACATCATACTTATCACTTAACTAAATTGTATATTTATGAGTTGATACAGTTTGTTTTGATTTTTTAGACATAAAAAGCTCACTATTTGAAGTATTAGTCAAGATTATTATTAAAGCTAAAAAATAATCTGAAAAAGAGTTTGTAGTTCTCAGCTGTATAATAATGGCAAAAATAGCTAATGTTGCTATGTTCATATACATGTGTACTATTTTTAAGAATGATAACTTTTAAAAAAATTTGAAAAATTTTGCTTGGGCCCTTAATAACTCTGGGCCCTCCCGCAGCTACAGGCCCTGCAGGACCTTCTCTACGCTACTGACCTTATTCTTTTTTAGGTCGGCATCAGGTCGGCAAAAATTATTTGATACAAAGGTTGACCATAAAACAAAGAAACTTTTTTTGCCGACCAATTTTTTGCCTACCTCAAACACTTTCAGATCAGCAGTTAGGTTGGTATTTACGAATGCCGCCCCTAATTATATATATATATATATATATATATATATATATATATATATATATATATATATATATATATATATATATATATATATATATATATATATATATTATATATATATATATATATATATATATATTATATATATATATATATATTATTATATTATATATTATATTACATTATTATATTATATTATATTATATTATATTATATTATATTATATTATATATATATATATATATATATATATATATATATATATATATATATATATATATATATATATATATATATATATGTGTGTGTGTGTGTGTGTGTATATATCAGAATATTTTTTTCATTAAACATATAAAATTATAAAAGTAATAAACAAAGTATTTTATCTTTTTTAATTTTAATAAATACTGATTTTTAGAAATCAACGCCTTAAGAGTGTTCTAAGTGCTGATGAATATACTTTAACATATCTGCAAAACTATTCTTATATATTTGAAAAAGAAACTTCATGCAAAGAGTGTAATGAAGATGATATAATTTATACACCAAGTTTAGCAGCGGCAGTAACATATTTTTTTCTATCTATTTATTTTTCTTATCTATTTTTTTCAATTTAAAAATTTTTTTCTTCCAAAGATTTATTAATCACGCTAAGTTGTTTTATATCAGATAATGCTTAGTTTGGTGAAAAAGTCATCGATCAAGCCAGATAGTATTTTTTACAAATTGTTTGCCGAAACTGCTAATAGAATTTTTAGCTTTGAAGATGTAACCTTGTTCAAAAAAATAACTGTGCAACAGTTATTGTGGGGTTATACAGATAAATTTTTAAATGATATCTCTCAAGCAGAAAGTATTATTGAACCTATATTAAAGCTACTGAAGGTTGAAATGCCAAAAATTAGATCATTTGTGATGATGCAGGTAAAATATACTAGTATTAAAAAAAATCTGTATTTTTGTATTATTTTTGTTTTTTATTTTTATTTTTGTTAAACTATTAGTTAATTATAAATAAGTTCTAACTTATATTAATTTTTAGTAGCGTTTTTTTTTTAGCGAAATAGCAGTGAGGAAGCAATTTATATAGGTAACTTAACTGTGGCAAATGGAAAATCAGATATAGAAAATATTTTACAAATTCTTAAATGGCGGGGTGAAAGGTAAATACATTTTTATATAAAGTTTGTTAAAGTAAAACAAAAAATCTATGCCTAGTTTATATATAATGATTATATAATTATATTGTTAAATAAATATAATTATATTTTTATGTTGCCAATAATTATATTGTTATGTTATATTGAAAGTAAAATGTTTTTTAAATTTCTCTAATATGAGTTTTAGAAAATTTAGAACTCATAATACAGACAGGTTTTGTCTGTATTATGAGTTCTAAATTTTCTAACTAATATATAATATTAATGTTTAAAACACTCCGCACATGTTTTAAAACATGCGCGGAGTGTTTTAAAACATGTGCGGAGTGTTTGACATTGGCTATCTTATAGCCTTCTGCTACAAGGAAGTACTGCTACATCGACTGAAGGTTTGGTTTGGGTAAGCAATCTACCATTTAAAAAAAAAAAATTATCAAAGTTTTCAAACTTTTTCTGGTCTGGTTTATTAGTGCGAAAATTACATAATTTACTTTAAAATATAGTTAAGCAAGATTCATTGCTCTTTGTAGTGTTCTCCATGATTCCATCCATCATTTCCTCTTGGAGGAATTTCAAAAAGAAGTAAGTAATTTAAATTAATGCAAATTAAAGCAAATAATTTTGCAGTTAAAGAAACTGTGACATTTGCTATCAAGTTTGCACATGTTTTAAAACATGTTTTAAGTTTACAACACTTTTTTTTAAAAACATATTCACTTCCAACAAGGCTGCAAGCAACCACTATTAGAGTTGAAAGTTACTGGAAGAGAAAAAATAAAGTTTATTAAGCAAGATAATGATTAACAGACAACATAAAAGATTGCAAATTATATGAATCAGGAAAACAAGATGAAGGAAGTGAATTCCAAAGGACTGATGTTTGAGGTAAAAAACCAGGTGAGTAAGAATTTTTGCAGCACTTATAAACAGTCATTAGTAAAAGGATGAGACTTAATTGAATGGCAAGTAACATGAGTATGAATTTTAGTAGATAGCACAAGATATATTAACTTTTCAGAGCATTATAGTATTTATAGAAAAGAAAAAGTGAAGCAACATTTTGTGACAATCGTTGAAAGTTAGCTGCAAGAGTAGCTCCAACTATGTTTACAATGCATTTTTGTATCTTTTGAAAGAGAAACAGCATCATTTAAAGATATACTACAGATATGGCAACTGTGTTTCTTACAAAGACAGATTTGAGATTTACAGAGAAAAAGAATATAATCCGGAGAAAGAAAGTGGCGAGCTTGACAAAGAGATACAACCTTAGAAGCGGCTAATTTGCATTGGATATTGATATATGGTTTCCAAAAAAGATCAAAAGTAAGAGTTAATCCTAGAAAACATAGGGTAGATGACTTATCAAGTACATTACCAAAATGAGTTTTATCTGTGTTAAACTTCACCAGCCACTGAGAGTTACTAACTGTTAAAGTTAGTTACTAACTGTTTGTGTATTTTACATTATGCAGGTTGCTATGGAATCTTCGTCAGAAACTTCCCAGGAAGAGAATTCTTTGGTGTCTAATGGACACAAGACAGCCACTAAACTTCTCATTGGGCACTGCTAGACTTTCTCCTAGACTTACACATGTAAGTCTAGGAGAAAGTCTAGCAGTGCCCAATGAGAAGACGAGAAAAGAGGAAACTTAATTTGCTTTAATCAAGCTGTAATTCTAAACAATGCGAGCTGCTGTTTAATAGTTAACATATTAATAATGTTGTAGAAGAAGCAACTGTTTCTGATCCAGTGTTAATTGAGGAAAATATCTTTTCAATGAATATAATGTCTAATTAATCAGTAAAGCAAGTACCATATTAAGTACAGTATCCTCCAGTCCTCAACAGCCTATGCAATCAGCTGTAACCGTTAACAAATTGCCTGTAAAATATTCATCAGACTGTATGTCAAAACCAGCTGCACTAGTTACTAAAGAAAGTATAAATGATGTCTAACAGATGATACTAACTCAAGTAGTCTCAACCATAAACATCCGAAACAACTAAATTCTAAAAATCTATAAACAGCTTGCTGGCACTGCACTGCATAACCAAAGAATAGCATTAGTAAATGATTCAGCCAAACCATACAGGTTTATATCAAGTCATTTACTTTATGATCCAAAAAAAGTGTACCAACGATTGATTTCAGATAATAAGTATGTCTAAAGACGTTGGATAACAGCAAGAGTTGAAGAAAATCAGATTGTGGCACTTTTTTGTAATGCATGCATGGCATTATCAAAAAAAGATTTTAGTTTTACTCATGGATTTAAAAATTTCTCCCAAATATACCAAAGAATCAAAGATCAAAAAAGGCAAGAATGTTTGATACGCAGAGGAAAGGGAAACTCACTTGGAGGCGGAGCTTGGTAAAAATGTTGTCAAAGACCATATTCTAGCTGCTATTTCAAACTTGATTATGATTTATAATAGTATAATGATTTGAATTATAAATTTAAGAAAATTAGTAATCAGAAATTCAGTGTTCAAATGGATGATAGTAAAGATATGTTTGGTGATTGATCAAGAGACGGTAATATTGTGCTATGTACATGGAGAGGAAATAAAGGAGCAATTTTTTCCTGTAATAAAATTTATGAATGCAACAGGTGCAGGATTATACTTTCTATTGAAATCAGAGCTTTGACAGTATGGTTTAAAAATGGAGAGAATTGTTGGTGAATCCTTTGATGAAGCAGCAAACATGCATGATGAATATCATGGAGTTCAACGTTATATTAACTATGTTTCACCAAATGTTGTATACATGTGGTGTTACATGCTAGTCCTGAATTTGTTTGCACCAGATATTGTAGAAAGCGTACAAGCTGTCAGAAATTGGTCTCTTGCAGAATACATCAGCTTACTTGCTGAAACATGCTGGCGGTCAAAACAGGCGAGGCTTAAATAAATTTGTGGAACTAATAATACTCTACAAGTGGAATCTTTCTATACTCTTTATTCAAAGCCACAGTACTACATGACAAGTGGTGTCAATTTGATGTGCTTCTTGCAGTCTTTCTGCTTCTATGTGTGTGTGTACACCATTTTGCCAGAGGCTTCAGAAATATTTGCGAACAAGCGGTCTGGACTATTATAGTGCTTGGAATATGGTGGAGCATGGCCTAATAAAATTCACAGCCAAACTTTTTGCTTACTAGTCTGAAAAACAGTAGGTCAGTTTTTTGGATTTTATTTTATAATAAAAACTAATATTTTTCAAATATTAAAGGTAGCAAATATATGTCAACAAAATATATAACTTAAAAAAAATATAAAATATATAAGCAAAAAAAAAAATACAGCTATGGAAAAACAAAACTTATCAAAAAAATAAAATAGTTTTAGTAAGAAATACAAAAGTAAAACTTAATTCACCATAAATTAGCTTTAAAAAAACATGACAGCTATAGATAAGCAAATCAAAACAAAAATTAAATATACAGAATCCAAACTAAAGTGAATCTATAGCAAAAAAAAAAAAAAAATTAGGTTTATTTCTTGTTTTATCTTTTTAAAAGCTTCTACTTCATCTTTTCGAATTTTTCCATTTTGAAATAATTGTTCTCATTATTATGAAATATTAATAGCAGTTGTGTGAATATATTGTCTTCCTGTTTCTGAATGG